TTGCTGCAGCTGGCTATTTGTTAGGGACAGCTCAAAAAGGTTCTCCATCACTGACTTAGGGCATTATATCAGCAATTTCATGTTTATTAGAAAAAAATTTTTATCACACTTTCAAGTTCTCTAGAAGTTTGATTTTTTTAAAATTAGTATTTCAGTAGCCAAGCATGGTGGCACACACTGTAATCCTGGCCCTTGGGAGGCTGAGGCAGGAGGATTGCCATGAGTTTGAGGGCATCCTGGCCTACAGTGCATGCAAGGCCAGCCTGACTTCATAGTGAGACCCTGTCTCAAAACAAAATAGAACAAAAGAAACAAAGAGAAAATTCCCCCCAAATTAAAAAATAAATAAATAAATTAGGATCTCAGGTTGTGTAGCTCAATGGTAGAGTGCCTGCCTAGCATCTGATCCCCAGGAGCAGCCTGTGCCACAATTAGAATCCTTGTGGGGTAAGACAGAGCATCAGTATTTTAAAAACTGCTTATGAGACTCTCATGCAAACGAGGATAGAAATCACTGTTGGAGTGTTCATTATTAAAGAAAAAAAGTTGGAAGGTATTTGACTAAGTGCACAAACCACAATTTAAATGCATGAATCACAACTTCGCTCTTTTTCTTCAATAATTACTTATTGACAAAGTTTTAAATAACCGGCAAGATGGAATCTCTTTCAAGAGGATACACAGTTTCATGGAAATGTATATGAACAAATAGACACTATAATGTAGTAACAACAACAACAATAATAATAATACAATTACCCTCATTTTTCAGGTACTATGCTGTCTGATGGGGCAGGTACTCTTAGTTATTGTCACTTTACAAGCTAACAACAGTGACATGAAGGGCCAGAGAAATAGCTCAGCAGACTAAGCGCCTGCTGAGGCAAGCTCAGGGACCAGGGTTCCATCCCAGGCACCACATGTCACACCAGCTTCACCCCCCAGGCACATTGAGCTGGCCACCAAGACTGGCCATGGTGATGCACGCCTGTAATTCCAGCGCTGGGGAGGCTGAAAACAGGAGGATCAGCATAAGTCCGAGCTACATAATGAGCACTGTACCAAATACAGAAAAAGAAAGAAAGAAAGAAAGAAAGAAAGAAAGAAAGAAAGAAAGAAAGAAAGAAAGAAAGAAAGAAAGAAAGAAAGAGAAAAGTGACATGAGCAGAAACACGCAGCATTCTGACTCCTGGCTACGCCATGATGGCAGTGGGAAGCCAAGTGCAGTGGAAATCCACACAGAGGCCGTGGTCCACACGGAGGGTCCTGGGTAGCTTCTTAGAGGCCAGGCCATGGAATCTATACATGCACCTGTTTTCTCATTTTAGTCAACACAAATTTTCCTTTCATGAACATGTGTGCAGATGACTTTTCATTTTGTAGTCCTGCTGCCATCCTGCTCCTGTGGTCAGTTGATAAGACGTAGACTTCTGAGACAAATTGTAAGAAAAATCCCTAGGCCTTCAATGCATGCTGCCCCCTACCCCCACAGCTGTCACCAGCAATGTGAGGATATTGCTTCATGGCAGCCTTACCAGCAAGGTGACAATCTTTTGTCATTAGTACACAAGAAGTAAGATTTATTTGATTACTACTTAAGCTGAACATCTTCTTATCAGTGCTTGCTACATAAATTCAACATCCTTACTGTTACAACCCACAGAGTGTCAGAGAACTTTACCAGTGAAATAATATTGTAGGATGCCTCACAAATACAGCACTTTTATTTTTATAACCACAAAAGTGATTTTGGCAGAACTAGCAGCATGTGAGGAAATCAAACTTTATATTCATGCTAAGATATTTCAGCTTTCAAATTACTGTGAGCTCTCTGAGAACAGAGCTTGTCTTGTTTGATTCTGCAATTCTATCGTAATGCCTGCAAATAAAACATGCTTTATCACAGTAGGCTGTAAAAATATATGGATGAAGTAATACATGATGCAAAGACATAAGCTGAAATCATACTTTGGCAGCCCTTATACAGATGATGCCAATAAACAAAGCTCAGTAACCATCACATTAGGGTGAGATGAAGGAAAAGTAACATGCTCTCCTCTTAGTTGCCTGCCATATAACTAGCATGGTAATTCAGTTTGCTTGCAGCTATTTGTACCTGGCAATAAATGTTATGGTCCCTCTCCATCTAAAGACATTCCCTTAATGAACAGCAGGTCTTAAAGATGAGTACTTTCCTAATCAGAAGCTTACCATTGTGCCACTCTGAATTTCACTTACAGACCTATGAGAAAATTCTTTTGGCTGCTAAGTGTTTTTATGACACTTTTCCATTTAACGTCAAGTGCAGTGCGTAGTTTGCAAATATGTAGTTAATCTCTAACTAAGAGAACATCCTTGGTGTTATTGGCATTCTCCATTCCATTTTATTGGTAAGGGAAGTGAGGCGTGGGAAGGAAAAGTGGCCTGTCCAAGGTCACATCAAGGGTGAGTCAGACATAGTGAAGAGTTTTTTTGAGCTCAAACTTTTGCTTTTGATATCTCACCAACCTCCAAAATCATCTGTATGTAATAAAATCAACAGGGCAGTCAGGTTGGAAAGATTTTAATCACTGAGAAAATGTCCTTTTAAACTACAGGCACTAATAACCTATTTCAAATTGTGTAAGCAAACCCATAGACACACTTTGGATAATATTTTTTAATGGGTATTAATTTCATGGTTAATAATATTTACTTTTACTGAGTGACAATCTCTATTCAAACCTCATGTATTGGTTCTTACTACCAGGGTGAAGGGAATATTCATAAAATAGGTGAATTTAAAATCAGCATTTAATCCTTTTGGTAATTAAAAACAAAATTTGCTACATTTTCACATTTTGTAAGTACACCTAAATTTTATATAATGGTGTGCTATTTAGATAAAATTTTAGTAGATCAACATCTTGAATTACAGCAAAAAAGTCTTTTATGTTTGTTTGTTTTTGGCAGAACCGAGGATTGAACTCAGGTGCTTGCATATGCCAGGGAAGCACTTATTCCACTGAGCTATCTCCCCGGCCCCAGCAAAAAAGTCTTGATGATGCTAATTCATTCTCCATAGTAACAGAGACAAAAGCTGATTAAATTCATATTTAATAGTTTACATCTAAGATGTATATAAAAGGAATGAGTCTTCTGTCTGTATAAAAGGAGAGGCACACATGTGTAGAGCTGGAAGGACTCTGTTATAGATATATCACCCACATTAACTTATGAACATGCCAGTCAAGTCCTATTTGCATTTTGTGGAGGTAGAATACAGAACTTAGTAAAACATGCATAAATTCTTTTGGAGGAGTAAACTTAAGAAAATAAACCAAGAAAACTTTTGTGAAGTATGAACTACAATAATAACAATAGCATTTTTCTGGCACAGTTTTCTGTGCCAATTTTATAACACTGGAAGTCCAGGGACAGGCACAGGTATACAAATGTACTAAGTATTCAGTAAACAATAAACATGATAACGGAGGATAGAAAATGTACAGTTCAGTGCTGTGACATCTGGCTAGGTACTTACCTCATAGCAAATGCCAAATATATTCCAGGTAGTCTGAACATTTCAGTATAAAAAAAAAAGAAAGTATTTGGGGAAAACTTTTTCATACATGACTTCAAAGATAAAATAATTTTTAAAGAGCCTAATAGATTTGATCACCTAAAAATACATTGTAACCACAAAATAAATATGAACTAAGAATATCAAGTATTTTTGATTATTCATCCTATAATCACTGGAATTTTCCACTTAGCTCGTAATTTAGTTTCTTTTAACACAAAATATTTTAAACTCAAAGTTAAAAGTACGAATCTTCCATGTAACGTTTCTGTGTTTTGGTCCACAAATGACTTTCTTAACCCCAAATCAGACTGATTTTCACTTTTTTTTTTTTTTTTTAGAATTCTTACATTTCTTATTTTATGGTAACTGAATAGATGACAGGTATCTATATGATTCTGTCTATTATTATCTTATTTAGAAAAATTAGTAACTTCTCTGAGTTTTTACTTTCCCTTTCCTAAAGAACCAGACACAATAATAGCAGCCTATTAGGGTGCCATGGTAATTAAAACAAATAATTTATACAGAGCATTTATCACAGTAGAGCTTAGTACATAAAAAGTACCTAGAAATGGTAGTTAATACTTTTAATGCTATTGCATTGTATACTGCACTTTCAAAATGTAGTTAGTACAGGGTCTACAGGGTCTCACTACACAGACTGGACTCTAGTGATCCTCTTGTTTTCAGCCTCCCAAGTGCTGGGATTATAGGCATGTGCCACCACCCCAAGTCTGAATCCCTGTCTCAGTGAGCCCCAGGGATGGGGCCAGCACAGCATGCTAGGGATTGAACCCCAATCCCTGCACCTCCTAAGTAGGTGCTTTAGTCTGCTGAGCTATCTGACTGACCCTGGATTTCTTAATTTCATGGGATATTGTTATGACTAGCAACATACTGACATTTTATTTAATTTTAAAATTTTCATTAGCAAATGCTTGCAGGACCTAATGATTACATTAATCATAGGAGTTGGTACACATCCGTACATTATGTTACATGACTTAAAAACATGTTTCACAAAAAAACCCATGTTTCACATGACTTAATCAATGTTGTAATTTCTTACTATTTTTAAGTCAATGTATGTCAATGAGAAAATGGTATGTTAATTTTTTGAAGACTATCTAGTTATATAGAGCATACTGCAATTTGGTCTTTTTTTTAAACAGATGGGGTCTCGGTACGTTGCCTGGGCTGGCCTCGAATGTCTGGGCTCAGGTAAACTCCTGCTCAGCCTCTCCAGTGGCTGACTCTGAAGAAGCATTTCATTGTGTCTAGCTGTAATCTGGCCTTTGCAAATTGCCATGTGAAGGTATCAGGTGGCCAAGTAACAGAGTAATCCAAGAAAATTAAGTGGTTTGCTACATATGAGAGCTGCTGAGATTATTTATGAGCTTAATATAAATAAGATGCTTACTCTTCTTTATCTTACCTCTAAGAGGCCATCCTCTGGCAGATCTGTACAGTGCACAGCATTCTGGATCTTAGTTTTACCAAAGATTGCCCTCAGGGTTTCAGGGCGTAAATGCCGGGCAATTTCCTATAAAATACACATTCACATAGAGTTAGTGACAGGGTGCAAGTAAGAAAAACACTGGCTATATGAAACACTTGAATTATTTTATTTCTAAAATACATGTTGTGCATTGAGGGTACTGATTTTTCCTGGAAATAGCATGAATGTATGGAAGTTCTGAGCAATGAAAACACTGTTTACTTATGAAGCTTCTTCCTGTGGCCCACTGTAACCTATGTCAATTCAATGTAATTTACTGTAATTGAGAGGGAAAATCACATTTCTTTTTTAACAACAGATTCTTGGAATGACAGAAAATATTCAGTTTATTATTCTAAAAGACTTATAAAGATAATAATATTGGAGACAGGGAGATGGCTCAGTAGAATAAGTGCTTCCCTGGCAAGCGCAAGGGTCTGAGTTCAATCCCTGGTTCCACAAGAGAAAAAGAAAAGATAACAATCTTATCAACTTGATTTAAAAGGAAATAGTTTAATGGTATTGCATTTTTAAGGTTTTTAAAAAAACGTTACAGTTGTATCTGCTTATTACTAGCTTACTTTGGAGACAGATAATGGTCACAAATAGCCCTGAATTTCATGAAAATTGTAAGTTCTAGCAAGAGACTACAACAAAACAAAAAGGATAATAACAACAGAGTATAAAATATTTGAGTAAGAAAGAAATTCAGGACATAGAATGTGGAGTGAGGGAAAGACAATGAAAAGGCAGATGGAGGGAACTGAGCTGAGCCAAATGGATGGGACAATGATTAAAATAAGTGTGTGTGTGTGTGTGTGTGTGTGTGTGTGTGTGTGTGTGTGTGGTGGCACACACCTGTAATCCCAGCACTCAGGAGGCTGCAACAGTAGGATGGCTGTGAGTTCAAGGCCAGGCTGAATTGCATAGTAAGGCCTTGTCTAAAAAAACAAGGAACACAAAAAAACTCCAAAGTAAGAGTCAGTGATTAAAAAAAAAAAAAAAAAGTTGTGGTTATAAAGAAGTTAACCAGAAAATGAAGAGATAGGATACATGAGATGAGCAGGGGTGGAGAAAGGAGGCTACAATGATTGATAATGACTGGTAAATGGAATAGAAAGGAGTGTGTTCAAGTTTAGGACAAGAATGTAAGAAGAAAGAGAGCCCAACAGACAAAGGGACAAGATACTGAAGGAATCATTCGTATGAACCTGAAAATAAAAGAATTGTGACAGGGGTCCAAATGAGCACAAAAATGTGAACAGTATTCACATTTGTGGTTCCACTACTTAAGGAAATTTTTTAAAGTGTTCATGTAATTATAGCCTTGTGACAAATTGTGACATTTTGGAAAATGACAGGCCACATAAATGAATGTGGTCCCATAAGATATAATGGAGTTAAAAGTTCTCTGTCATATAGTGACGTCATAGCCATCCTAATGTAAAATACAAATTACTCATATATTTGTGGTGATGTTGATGTAAAAATCTATTCTACTCCCAACCATATAAAAATAGCACATATAATTATGCATAATATATGATACTCAATAACAACAAAAGGCTGTGTTATTGGTTTATGTATTTATTATTCTTATTTTTATTTTAGAGTACTCCTTTTACTGGTTAAAAAGGTTTATTGTAAAGAAATAGCCCATGCTACTTGCAGCAGTGAGTATATGTTCTGTGCTTAGGATTTTATTTTGGATTCTTTCTAAAAAGGCACTGATATACTGATTTTAGTTTTGATTACTATAAAACATCATATATGTATATACACATAAAAATACTAAAATATTAACAAATACTAAAAGTGAAGATGAAACACTAAAAGTAATGTCATCCTTCATAGATCGTTTGCCTTCTTCATTTACTGATAAGTTGTTTCTCTTTATTTCTAACAAATCCATGCACCTTCTGCTGTATGGTAAAAACCATACTAGCATGCCCACTCCTTCTCCCTTACAGAAGTGCAAGTGATTATCAGATATACAAAGGCAACACAAAATACTTTGCCAACATATGATTTCATTTAATACCATAAGTACTTCTCACTAAAGTTAATGCAATATTCATAAATGACAGGTTATGCTGAGAAAATTATTCTTTGGAGAGTAACAGTTATTTGCATTCACTGGACAGTCAATGGTCTTATAAACTCCACCAAATTCCTGCCATAGTCACCCCTCTCTACCACCTTGACTGCCCAGGCCCATCAACTGCTTGGTTATTTCACAGTCCATGGTAAGTACTAAAAATTCTGCTCAGGTAATCCTGCAGTGGGAGAAAGAATTCTGGCTTAAAAAATGATCTCTAAGACAGAAAAATGCACCAAATAGAATGGTGGTTAGTAAAATACTGAGAATGAATAAATTATTTAGTTATTTTGTGGATGTGTACATTTTAAAGAATATCAATGGTTCCTGTATGGCTGATAAAAATATGTCTAGATGAAGAACTAAATGCTTCCAAAGTATGTATTCTATTAGTTCTCCACAACACAAGAAAGATGGTATTGAATTTTGTACCTAAGAAGCAAAATGACTTTCCATATAACAAACTGATATTTGTGAAATTTACTGATAGTAGAACTTTGAAGAGAATTTTATGATCAACTACAGAATACATTTTTATGAGCAGCATGAGGCGGTTAATCATTAAGTTACCAGTGCAATTCTGGAAAATTTTAAGTACAAGAGGAAAAGTCCTCCCTAGAGGATAATTATATAAGCTGTAATACAAATAACTGAATAAATATTAAAAAGAGATCTAAAAAACCTTCAGTCCTAGAAATTCACATTTGTGGCTCCACCATTTAAAGAAATTTTTTTAAAGTGTTCATGTAATTATAGCCTTGTGACATACTGTGACATTTTGTGTCAAAGACAGGCCACATAAATGAATGTGGTCCCATAAGATATAATGGAGTTAAAAGCTTCTGTCATATAGTGACACTGTAGCCATTCTAATGTAAAACAAAGATGTGAAACAAAGTTTTAAAATGTGTTACAATCACTGCCCTCTTTTTACAGTCAACAAGAGTAATAAGACAATAGCGAGGCCAGTAATGAAACTAATTAAAACAGCAAATGTTCTTATTTCTAACCAGTACTGGTACTTTTTATTAAGAAGCCTTGCAATGTTGAACAGTGCGCATGTGCTACATCCTCTGCTTGACTCTTCTGGCTCTGTACAGCATCTTACCAAACAGACCCTCCTATAGTCTCTCCATTTGCATATAACCTTGTACTAGTACAGTTGTACTTTTTTTTTTTTTTTGGTGGAACCAGGGATTGAACTCAGGCCCTTGCATTTGCCAGGCAAGCACTTATTCTACTGAGCCATCTCCCCGTTCCCAGTTATACTTTTATAGTTCTTGCAGACAAGTGGTATCTGACTGAGTCACAACTAACACAAGATAATAAAACACTGGGAAAAAACTGGAAGTAAGAAAGGAAACCAGACAAGAGATCCAAAGGCTACATTCTGTGGTCTAAAAATCCTCTTAGAGCCTACACATAGATTTTGTGACTGCAAAGTTAAACTCAACTAGATACTTGCTATTTCCCTGAATGTGTCATCTGAGAGAGCATGGTAAACACGCTCATTTGTACTAATACTATATGAGTTCATTAATCTATGAGGAATCATTAAAACATCTGCTTTATGAACTCACAGGCTCCACATTTTACTTTTCATTAGGTAAAAATCAGCTGTAATAGAAGTTTATAATGCGAAAAGGGTCACAATTTAATGTTATTTCAGGTAAAACATTTAGACAATTCAATCCTGGCTTTCCTACTAGATTTAAATAAACCACGTAATATGATAAGCAATGTCTCTTATTGAACTGTTGGATATTTCAAGCAACAATAAGCACTGGCTAAGATGCAAATGAAGTCTTAGGTGAGGTATAAGTTATCTGTTAAAAGAACTGGGAAATCCTGATATCCCACTTCTACAATCCCAGCTACACGGAAGGCTGAGGCAGGTATGTTACAAGTCTATAGGTAGCCTGAGCAACATTTTTATTTTCTCAAATAAAAAGGGTGGCGATGAAATTCAGTGTTTCCTGGGTTCAATTCACAGCAGTACCAAAGGGAAAGGATTGAGCAAATCTCCTTAATCACTTTTATATATAAATTATACTTCAGCAAAAACTATAAAAACTCACATCAGCAAACTCTGAGAGTATAAATATTAATATAGAAGAAAATAACTGCTTTGGTAAATACTTTTCTACTTCTTTTCTGTTTAAAAAATGCTATTATAAAAGCTCTACCCATCTAATGGAAAGGCTGGCTCATAAAAATATTACAGTGTGTCCTCACCGCCTTTTTCATCAGATCTGACATGGTATAACTTCTGCCTCTTCACCAAAGTCAAGTTCATAATGAAAGGTAATGATCTGAATGGACTCAGGATATCTGAGGCAGCCATGGCAGTCCAACTAAAGGTACTCAAAAAAGTAGACTTCCAGAATTGCTTCAGAAAGTAGCAAGAACAATGGAATGTGTATTGGAAGCTAGAGGGAGTATTTTGAAAAGGATTCATGGCAATATCTCTTTTACTATAACAATTTTTTTTAAATTTAAACATTCACCATTTTTAATGGCAACATTTTATCCAGATTCCTCTGGTAGGGTCCACCTACTGGAATGAGCTTTATAAAACATAGTGAATCACACCAGCACCTTGCCTAAGACACACTGATGTTTTCCTTAAAATCAAAAATTCCCATCATGATCTAGAGTCCTGCGTGGCCTGGATCTGCTTACCTCTCTGCTGTCCTCTGAAATGATCTGGTCATATCAGCTTCATTTAGCTTTTCAAAAGCATCTAGCTCTTTCTCTGTCTCTGTCTCTCTTTGCCTCTGTCTCTGTCTCTGTCTCTCTCTCTCTCTCTCTGTCTCTCTGTCTCTCTCTCTGTCTCTGTTTCTCTCTCTCTCTGTCTCTTTCTCTCTCTCTCCACCTTGCCCTGTGTAATAGTTCTGGTTGGCCTTGAACTAACTATGTAGCACCTGTGCTGGCCACCTGGCCCTTA